GTTGTATAATCTATTTCGGGCAGGTGGGATCTATTTCGGGTGTATTATAAGCGTATGATACCATTTGAGATCACCTGGTCCGTAAACAAATCCGAGATGTGCAAATCCGAGATAAGCATTTATTACCAGTTAATTATGTGTCCATCTCGGATGTAATACCGATTCGAGTTGTTATAATATTTTTTTTGAAAGACACGAAATAGAAATGTACAGAAAATGTTATGAACTCTAGTTGAAGTTTGGTTAAATTATTCTCATAATGAATCTATAATAAAATATAAATATGGGTTAAACTAGGGTAGAACTCTGGTTGAACTCGGGTTGAAAATGGTAGATGCACAAGTAAATCAATAAACTAAACTTCTGCTGATTAAACTGCGACTTTCTGTGTTCGTGATGGTTCGCCTAATACTGGCCCACATTAAATTTTATGTGGTGTTACCTTAACGCAGAATTAATTCTCACGGTCGATTTTTTTATTAATGAACATTACGAATAATACGAATAATACCTAGACCCTACGCGATTCTGCGATAAGAGAATGCACGAATGGGACTTAAAAGGGCTATAAGGGCAATGAGTATAACATTCTTAATCAGTAGTTTTATCCAAATTTATATGCCATGAGGAACTTGGAATTCCCAGATCGTCAAGATCGTTGTCTTTTTTACTTCGTAGTACCGATCGTTGAATCTAAGGAGGGTTCAATTTACCTAAAAAAAAACTACAAAATATATTCAGTATTTGAAACTTATGGCCGAGCGGAATTGCTTTATGGAGAAAAACTGGCGTTAGATTTGGGTAACATAATTACTAATCGTATATTTTTCTTTCTGGCAGGTTCTCTAGATCTAATAAACGTGAAGTATGGAGCCCTTCATTACAAAAAATTCAAAAAATCGTAGTAATGAAAAATGAACCAGTTTTATATTACCTCAGAAGTGATGATGATGAATATGCTCCAACGCGTAGATTTGTGAGAGAAGAGCTCTTACACGTGAATACTAAAACGCTTCAACTTCTGCCCAAAAATATATTATCAGAAAATCAACGCACTGGATTAGTTCACTTTATTCATATTTCTAATAATGAATTTAACAAGGCACAGCAATTTGCCAAGAAGCGTGGTGGGACTTGTATAACAAAATCTGGGCAAATAAATGGCTTAAATGTGTATCTTTAGTCATGTGAAAATGGAAAACATCAGTGGGAAGTACCTTATAAGACTCAGAAGTTGAAATTTGAATGGTGCCCCATTTGTCCCCATACTTGTGAGCGTAAATGCTGATATATTTTTGAAGATCTGTTAGATAAGAAATTCCCACCATGTAGGGCTAAGTTCTTAGATAGATTACACTTAGATGGATATAATGAGGAATTACGTCTTGCGTTTGAATTCTAGGGCCCCCAACACTATCATCACAATAGTCTATATCTTAGGGAGAGTGAAAATTTGAAATCACAAAAGATGCGTGATCAGAAAAAGCGGAATATATGCAAAAACCAAGGTATATGTCTTATTGAAGTGCCTTATACATGTGACCTTTTTCCTTATATCAAGTATATGCTAATTGAGAAAGGATTCTTGGATGAAACTAAGGATTAAAAAATTATTTTTAGTATATTATTATTAATACTTAGTCTGAGATGAAAATCAAAAAGCTTGAACCGGTTGATAGGCTAGTATACCACATTAATGAGATTAAAGATGCTCAAAAATATAATGGCCATTCTAGTACGCCTCAATAGCCTTTCACTCTTCTAATTTCAGGTCATACTAATTCAGAGAAAACTAATGAGGTTCTCAATCTTATGCTTGGGGATAAACTTTATCGGATATTTAATGGTAAGAAAGAAGGGACACGTTATATTAAGTGTGATGATTTGGTCTTGATTGGTCATAATCTTAAAGAGTCCAAATATATGTACCTCAAATCAGCGTATCAGATAATTGCGAATAGTCCGAAACCATACCATGAAAATATTACATTCCGATCTTTGAAACTTGATAAAATCCCTAAGGTAGATTCATTTTCTCCTAATAGGAGTACAGTGGCTATATTCGAAGATGTATGTGCTGATCCGAAAAAAGTGCAGGAGAAAATTATTCCTTATTTTGTTGAAGGACGACATTATAACATCAGTTCAATATATGTATCCCAGAGTTACTTTGACTGTCCGAAGATAATACAAAAAAATCTCACACACGTCTGTTTGTTTAATGGGTCATGTACTACAGATGAACTAGTTAGAATTGTACGTCAATATGCCAATGACTGGCGTAGTGTAATTAAAATTATTGACAAGTATTTATGTGAGCAAAAATTCATTGTTTTCGATTTAACTGTACCCCGCGAGCATCACACAGGATACGCATTGGTTGGGACCAAGTTTTGGAAAAAAGTGTCCAAACTAATGAATAGAGTTTAGTTATTCATATATGTTGTTGCGCATCTACAAAATAATCGAATAAATAAATTATTAAATATATCTCGTCAAATACCAACTTGAAATATTCCACGAGCATTGCCCATATTAGCTAATGTTTATAATTAGTGGATGTTCTATTCATTCTTTTCAACCCCAATTCTATTTTGATAACAATTACTGACTTCATACCTTCTGACAATATTTCAGTGGAGAATTGATACATATACTGTAGTTATCGATATGTACCAGAAAAGAAGCTGAGAAAGTGTTGATAGAAGTTCCTGAATACATATCTTATCAAGAAAAATTCTGGTTCATATCAAAAAAAATTCGAAGCTCTTGCACTTGCACCAGTTCTCATAGTTGATTAAGAGGCAGGAGAGTGAAACAAAAATAAATAAAAAATTAAGATTGAAATTATATTTTATATGAACCAAGTAAGTTTATCTTGTCTATTTTTTGTGGACTGAAAAACCACCCAAGCCAAAGTACTGAGCCACCAGAAATGATGATTATGCCCTTTCGAATACACAACATACAAAGTCAGAGGCCCTATCATCAAGAGGTGAAAACTCAAGTGAAATTTTTTGCATAACTATGCATACCCATAAACAAGTAACCTGGGTGGTCGTTTTATCAACACAAAAGCAATTCAACATGAATTAACAAATTTGAAATGCAATATATACCCGGTTCAGGTTGAATATAACTTTACTAATCAATGATAGTATGGTAAGGTTAAATTTTGGTTATAATTTTATTTTTTGGTAGATACATTCAATCACTCTCTGTGGTGTAGTTCAGTTGTTTAGGAAGTCTGCATCACCTTCCTCCTTACACATGCCCCACATTGAAGATAATGGTCACGCCCAAGATAAAGAAAAATAGCATGTTTATATAAGTTTCGAGGTGGATACATTCGAACTATTTCTCATCTCGTAGCTCAGTGGACTAAACCATGAGAAGCTTATTGGGTCTTCCTCTCCTCGCTACGTAGACAATAATAGTCCGACAATTGCGCCCTCTATGATAGTGTTTTTATAAATGTAAAAAGAAAAATAAATTTTAGAGAGGAAACAGTCGGATCTAAGCCTACCTCAAAAAGTTATGACTGCACCAAAAAGACTATTATTAATAGATAGCTAGATAGCATATTTTGCGGAACAAACGAGCACTTTTGCCAAAGTACTGGACTACCAAATGGTAATTATGAGCATGTTTGATCTCACAACACACATAGTCAGAGGCCCTATCGCTCAACATTAGAGACAAAATTTTTTGCTTGACTAAGCATACCCACACAAATAGCTCAAGCAACTGTCTTATCAACACAAAAACAACCTAGTGTAAAAAGGTGGAATATCGGCAAAAAAAATACTCTAGAAGGATTTTATATCGATATTATGTGGCTATGAAATCATGCCATTGTATTTTTGATCACTCATATAAAAAGGTACTTATTTTGGGGCTTTATCTATATGTACTATTTTACCGCAACCACGCATACGATAATTAATAAAAATAGAAAAGGTCATATGAAAATCGATTAGCGTTACATGATGCGAGATAAGCTATAAATATTTATTAGACACTATTATCTCTTAAATAAATTTATATCGAATTAGCCTTTTGCTAATCTGAAGTTAGAAGCGAAGACTAAGCTTAGGCCTCGGTCGCGGTTAAAATAATGATCACGAGATATTCGGGTTTATGAGTAAATTATTATTTATTATTATCACGTGTATCAACAGCACTTAAACAGCACTTCAACAGTACTTCAACAGTGGCTTAGAGATTTTATATATGTTTATTAAGAAAAAGCCAACAGCACTTCAACAGTGGCTTAACAGCAGTTATCGTGTGCGCCATTTTAACACGCGGTAATTTAATTTAACAGCTGTTAGATGACTTAACGGTCCGCTTTTTATTCAAAGTTTATCTATATCAATATTGATATCGGCATGACAATTTTTTTACGGTATGATTCTGGGTTGTAGTACATACAGAAGTAACGCCCGATTTTTTAACAAAATGCAAAATTAAAATTTATTTTATTTTTGCCCTATAAGTACCGTAAAACGCCGGATACAAGACCCGGGTCTCTTATATTCCACCAATTTTTAAAACCCTATAATATATCCCGAGTCCAGTATGCAGCCGAGAGTTCATATTATTAAAAGAAAAGCTTTGAAGGATATGCACATTTTTCATTTATAGTAGGCAGTCCAGATATTTGAAAAAAGTTCAGGTTAGATCCTGTGATTCGCATCCGGGTATACTACATGGTGGATCTACTATAACGGGGGGGGTCTTGTATCCGGTAATCATGTTTTTGTCTACCTTAATCATTCATAAATTTGGAAATTTTTCAGCGATATTTGGCATACCAAATCATAGGTGTTCACATATTACAAAATAAAATCTGATATGGACAAACAATACGCGCTACACTTTACAATACTGCATATAAAAAAGTTCTAAAACACATGGTAAAAGTGATCTACCACGTGATATATTCTATTTTGGCGATTCGAAAAATTAAAAAATTACTTAGTCAGCCATACTTTTATCTAGAAAAGCTTATTCATCGTCATGTCTTTTTTTGTACCGCCCCGATCGTCATTATGTGAAAGCCTTAGCAATTTTCGTATATTGTGAGAATTGCTTAGACGTGAACTCCTTTTATTCCTTGATTCTTGAAATTTTTTATCGGCTTCTCCTACCAATAGCTGCAAAACAAAATGTAAACCAGTAAAAAAAAAGGAATTTCTCACAAACAGCAGTGATGACTTACTGCCCAAGTTACAATTGCGCGATAAAAAGAGGAAAATTGCAGGGTTTCCTTCCATCCCGTAGGTACTTCGCATGTTTCAATTTCGAAGATACAATACTGAGCTTTTATAAAAAGGAAAGGTCAATTCATAACTTTAAACATATTTGGTATTGATATGATGTAGTCCATACCAAGATATTCCATAAAATAGAACCGCAAGTTAAACTCGAAAACTTGGACCATGAATGTTCGAAAATATGCTGGAAGTGGTCGTTTATGTAATACTTCCTTAGTTACAACAAAGTTAATCATATCCTTTGCCGCTCTTGCATTTTGAATGAAATCACAAATTTCTTTGTTTTTTTCCGTAACGTATGACCGGCTCCCCTCAGTAACAGAAATTTCATAAGAATTTTGTTGGTTGGATGTGTATGCTATCCCATCCGCACGATCTGCGCTTCCTTTCTGGTTCATCATGGTTTTTCGATACGTAGAGGCTTTGATAGCCTTGCCACCTCTGCAAGAATATGGATAATTGTTGCTATAAATTAAGAAGGTAAGCTGATGAAAATATATACTTACGGAACATATCTAATATCGGAAAACCGGGTCAATGCATTTTTAAAATCGGATTAATATAAGTATTCATGTATTCCTCTTCTGTCATTTCTTTATTTTTAAGTGGATTATCAGACATTAATTTGTAGGAGTCAAAACTAGAAATTATAAAATACATATTAGTATATACAAACAAAGATGCATTCATTGAATTCTTACAAAATCGGTAACGTTTCTATTATTAATCTTTTTAACTTTATTATAAATTTATTTTGCCCTGAATTATCTTCCATCAAGCTTTCGATTTTATCCTCCCATTGTTGTTCGCTTAGTTTCTGTATGTAAGACAAAAAATTTAATATCTTTATCAAATCGGACAGGTCACATTTTTATTTCTTTGAATTAATACTTGATACGATGGTATATGATTTACAATCCGCCAACGAAGCACTAAATAAGTTACCTCTGAAAAGAAATCGATTAGAAAGTCATCAGCCTCTTTTGGAAAGATTTTGTCAATAGGCTCAAAAACCTTTTCGATTAACAAGTCATACTCCACTTCTTTTAGGTACAAGAGAACAAATTCAGAAGATGGTCTTAAATCCATAATTTCATTTTCCGAAATAATATTCTTTGCTTCATGTTGATAGGTTCTAAAAGCGGCTAGAATGGTGCTAAGTTCCTGTGAACAGGTCTCTGATTCATTCAAAAGATTTCTAACTTCGGTGTCATATTCAACACCTCCTTCTTGATTGTTAAATAAATCAGACTATTCAAGAAATTAAAAAGTTAGTCAATTATTCTAATGTCTATTTAAAAATTTCAATTACCAGTAATAAGTTTTATACCTCCTCGTTGTTTTTATTTTCTTCTATGTCGCAATTTCGGGACTTGTGAAATAAATTGGAAGAAGTAATGTTAATAAAATATTTGCGCGTAACAAACAATATGGATTCGAATTTAAGTACAAACAAATTCAGGCACGACGTTATGACAAACACGCTTTTCATTGGACGATGCGGCTTCTTCAATATCCTCCACTATTCGCTTTTGACCCGATGCTTGTAAGAATTCCGTAAACTTTTGTTCCGAAAATATTGTTGTTTCCAAGAGTCGACGTCTTTCAGCAATTTGCAGATCAATACTTCGTTGATAAAATTCTTCATAAAACTTCTCACAGCCTCGGAGAACCATGGCACCTTCAAAAGTGTCACAAATTTTTAGTAGTTCAACGCAAAAGCTGGACACACATCCTGGAATAGTTTTATTCAAGTTTTTAGAAATAAATTCAAGAGACTGTCGCCATTCGTTGTATATTGTAGACCACGACAAAATAGGTTCGTCATTTCTTAAACGAAAGCTCAGATAATGTTTTAGTTGCCAATGTTGAGCTGAAACCTCTTTAAAATAAGAGTACGGTATTTTTTCTGAGGTAGATATTTTAAACTCTAAGAATTTGAGAGATCTAAGAACTACAGTCATATTCGTAACTGGTAAGTCTAGTTACGCGTTTTGATATCAAATTTTTACACGTCCCTGGTACTGCCGATCATAAAAATGCAGACCAATCAAATTTGGAGAATGCACAAACATCTTTGAAACTTCATTTCTGTTATGCAAGCTATACTATACAAATTATGAGAGTGCAACTATGCCGAAGCTACTCGTATCTGCTCCAGTCAATTGGCAGCGGGTGCTTCCCTTGGTATACATTTACCGTGGAGACGCCGTACTTCATGTCTGCTCCAGTCAATTGGCGGTGAAGTATGAGTTGCTTGGTGACTAACAACTGTTCGTGTCTGCTCCAGTCAATTGGCGGCGACAGTTGATCAACTGACTACGCTGAAGTTACTCGTGTCTGCTCCAGTCAATTGGCGGCGAGTGCTTCCCTGGTGTACTGTACATTTACCCTGGAGACGCCATACTTCATGTCTGCTCCAGTCAATTGGCGGTGAAGTTATGAGTCAGTTGGTTTTCAAGTTATCTCTTGGTAGTCACCAGCCTCAAGTTTGTATCATACACATTTAATAACACAGTTAAAATTTAGAAACATCAATCTGAGCTAAGTGATAATATGTTATATAAAATAATAAATATGTGTTTCAGGTCTCTCGTAATACTAAATTCGTCATCCACCCACGTATTCCTTTTCTATAGCCGTTCCGTCTATAATATCACTTTTGCAGTCTCACAAATAAGCTATGATAAGCCTTCTAAGGTGGTACGGATAAATTTTACATGCGGAATTATTACGCTAACGAATGTGGACAAATAATGTATCACAATAACGGTAAATTTTGTTCAAACTATTACCAAATCGCTAATTCAGATTTATTTTATTTGACGTTAATAATTCGAGAATTATCACATTAACATCACTTATATGTTTCATCTGCTATTTTTTTGCATGTCTTACAATATAGATGTGAATGGTGATCGCATTCGTCACAAACCTTACACCCGTGCTTCCAGCCTCTAAAGATATGCCACTTTTCGAAGTGATTTTGTCTTTTTTTATTTGTATATGTATTGTTATAA